TGATTTGTTAGCAAGAATTAATAAATTGATTTTTTTTTATTCTTGAAAACAAAGATGCTTGTTTTTCTCTCAAAAGTATATATTATCTAATTATGGAAATAACAGTACCGTATTAAGTGAGAAACACTTATCGTTTCGTATACTGTGACTCTGGGTGCGTCTGTCCCAGTGGGCTGTCCCCGACTCACCTTTATAGTTTTGTGGTGAACTCGAGTCAGCGGAGTGTGACGGTGCGTCTGCTAAGCTTCGTCATCGCCTTGCAGTCGACTTGAAACGAGTTTAGGCAAGACGCGCTCGTGAAAAACATGGACTCGAAGCACTATCCGGCCCTGACATGAGACGCTACATATATGCGCAACGGTGAGTGAACGACGCTTCGTTTATACTGCCAAATACGAGTGGAAAAGCTCGAACACTATAGGAAATGAGTAGATCTACTGGTCATCAGCCCCTTTGAACAACAAAGACACTGCGTCAGCCTTTTTCACCATGCCCGCCCCCCCCCCCCCCTACTCGTGCTGCGCGAAAAACGAAATTGAAACTGTAGAAAACAGTCCGTAGACAGTTCGCTAGCTAACCCTTTCTAATTCGAAGCCTCTACTTCCCATAATTTCCATGGAGGTACGTGATCGCAGCGCAAGATTTCTCTCAAGGTATTATTGTATGAAACTCTTCTATGTTTGGGACCTTTCGTGGAGCCGAAGATGCTGCCCGTGCCCAAGTACTTCCAGCCGTTGCCCGAGAAACCTGAGGAACCACGAGCGCGTCTTGCCTAATCATCTACGGACGGTGAGACGAGAGAGGTGTGAATCCTCTCTTTCCTTCGCCTCACCCGAAGGAAACTATCGGGACTCAGTTGAACAGTTGTTCGTGATGTTCAGTGCTCATGCTGAACAATTATGTCATCCGCGATCTCCAGTTGCCTGGGTAGCTCTCGTCGATCGGTACCCCAGTCTCGAGCTCCTCCGACCATTTCCACATCCTTCTTTATTTATTCTCTCTACCTTTTGTATAGTGCCTGCTTATCCAAGAGCTCTCACTCCTTCAACTTTCAACTTCACTTTTAACCACTTTCCCAGCCCATCCCTACAAAGCACTGCACCATGCTCCCTATAGGTTGTTGTTGTTGTTGTTGTTGTTGTTGTTGTTGTTGTTGTTGTTGTTGTTGTTGTTGTTGTTGTTGTTGTTGTTGTTGTTGTTGTTGTTGTTGTTGTTGTTGTTGTTGTTGTTGTCCTATTGTTAGTGGTGCATACCCACTGTGGGGGATTGGCCAAGAGTCGAGTGGTTTCAAAATTTACTGTTCAGATTTGGAATGATAGAGGTTTAACAGAAAGATTACGGATAGCCTAGGATGGTGTGGTGCTTAATGAAATGCATACAAATATTTACATAAACGATTTTATTCTTAGAATAGAGCAATAATCTAATTTTATACGTATATAATTATGTGGACCTGTTAGAATAATGAAACTGGTTAATTAGTCAACCTATTAGTTTCATCAATATAGTCCCGGACGGCCGCGTATACTGTCGCATTAGAGAAACCAGAAATGGAAGCTCCAAAAGACCAAATGACAGGCAGAGATAAGTCCCTACCAATACCACGCAAAGGTATTTCTAATAGGGTTTTTCGTAATGTGTTAAACCACCTGCAGGTCAAAAAGAAATGGTCTATTGTTTCCAGTTCATCACAGAGTGCACACAGTGGCGAAGGTGCCTGAGCAGACCTGTGTTTATAGAAATTTAGATTTGGTACCCGGCAACGCAGCCTTGTGATAGCTACTTCTTGTTTTCGAGTGCGGCAAAAGTCTCTTCGCCAGGGACATAATAAATGGCGATATTCTGTAGAGTTTGTTAGTGCTGAACCTTTAAAGACTTGCATAAGCGTACGTCTGTAGAATCGAGCAGCAGTCACATAAGCGGATGATGGACAGAGCGGTAGAATTGGTTGGCTGATTGACGACTTAGCTAAGGAATCGGCTATTTCATTTAGAAACAAACCTTTATGTCCAGGCACCCAAACTCGTTCTTGTTTCTGTTTACCTTCACTTATGGCTTATACCCACTGTGGGATATCGGTAAATAATTGAGTGGTCTTATAAACTATTATGCAATTTTAGAGTGAAGGAACTCATAAAACGAAAACGTTACAAATGTTAGGACAAAATTTGGATGATATCTGAGCTGTACCTACTATAAAGTTTTGTTTAGTAATAGATAATACCTAGCTCAAAACCTAAATTTAAGAAAGAAGTTATGTGGATGCCGAACTCATGCGCTTTTTTTTCTTCCAGCCACAACCACCATCATTTGAAATGAAGTTTAATTATTTATTCATATGACACCCATCTATTCTTTGTAAATTAAGAAGTGATTTCAACTGCTGTGGCATAAAGAGAGCAAAGAAAAGAGCTTAAGCATCTTTTTTATGGCCTTGAATAAGATTCTTGTAAGAGTGCTCATCATCATTATCGTTATCAGATACCACAGTCAAGAAAATGCTGCCGACAGTCCGGAATAATTTGCCTTTCGCTTGGAAGGACCACTCTTTCCACAAGTGTAGTCATCGCCCTTACGTACATGCAACTAAAGACTGCACCCACAGAAGCATAAGGGTGGCGCTATATTTGTCGTGAAGTAATCCTAAATCATTCATTCGCTGTGTTTGGGGCTGCTTTTACGAGCGAATTTAAGCCTAAGTGAAGTGTTCCAATATGCAAAAGCGGAATCCAATGTATCTCCTGAATATACATGGTAGTTAGCTACATAGATTTTAGACGCATTGTAGATTTGAGGTATTTTGGTGACATAAGCATACCGAAAAAAAATGTCGGCCCACACCGGACCGTAAAGCCAGTAGCGAAATAGTACATTTTTCTCGGTTTTAGTTAATGTGTACGTCCCACATTTGTGATGCATAAAACGCCACAGATAGCAAGTACAAAAAACACTATGCAGCAAAATTATGAATTATTAAGTATACATCTTCAATTTGCTACTCTACTAAAGTACTACATCTGCAGTACCTTATCTGCAGTTAAATTATGTGGTGATAGAACAAGAATAGATGTTTGCGAACAGCGGCACCACTGAGCATGTGACAATTAATTCAGACAGCCAACACAGCCATTGACTTGGCACACTAACACCGACGTGTTAATTCGGTCTCCCGATGATGTGCGTATGCCATGACTGATTGATCGATATGCAGGGTTAAACGTCCTGAAACTACCATATCATTATGCGAGACACCGTAGTGGAGGTCTCCGGAAATTTGGACCACCTTGGTTTCTTTCACGCGCACCCAAATCTGATCACATCCGCCTACAACATTTTTGCCTCCGTCGAAAATGCAGCTGCCGCAGCAGGGATTTGATCCTGCGCCCTGCAGGTCTACAGCCGAGTACGTACCTTAGCCACAATCCCACCACGAAGGGCTGCGTATGCCATGACCGCCGGTTTCTTATGTGTTCAACTCCATGAAGCTAATAGAGGTTTTTAGTTTGACGTTTTTGTGATCCGCCCCGCTCCGGGAGCACCCGCGAAGCCGCAGCGGAGCGGCGGCTGATTTTTCTCTTTCAGTTATTCGTTGCCGGCAGCGAAGTGGACCTTTCACAGTTGCAGCGCCCTCTGGTCGTTTTCATTGTCGGTAAACGAAATAAAAAAAGATTTTTTTCACGTATACAAAGCAAAACAATAACGTATAAATTATCTTTTCATGAAGTGTTTAGAAATCCACTTTCAATGTATTAACCGTCTATTTTTTTGACAAAGAAGCAAGCTCTGACTTGATAGTAGCCGCTCAAAAGCCAGCAAGGTTCCGTTCTAGATCCATTGCAAGCATTCACTGTGTGTTGTTTGCGCTTTATACGCGTGTGGTGGCGGCGTTTTTATTTTTCACCGTTGAAACTGTGTTTTCGCCGCTTGCGCTGGGCAGGTGACGGCGAAGCTGCAGCACTCGCGGAAAGCGTGGCGTCCCCGGAGGAAGCCATCTTGAAATGAGCAAAGTTGCTGCACGCACGAGAGAGGGCGCGCGCGTTGTCCCCTTCCGCTTGCAAAAACGGCAGCGACGCACCGCGCTCCGCTTAGGCTGCTCGTAAGCGGACCGTATTCCCCGCTTCGGTAACCCGCTTAAGGCCTTAGCGGAGGACGCATGCGCACTCGCGTTCCCACTCCGCTTAGCTGCTAAGCGGAGCGTGAAAACGTCAAACTAAAGATTTATAATATCTTCCGTTTCATAACGCTCTGTTTCAGGTGTCAGGATTTTTCTTTGCTTAACGGCAGAACTAACGCTATACTTGCATTAGTGTCTTTTAAAGGGGTCGTGAAATGCTCGCTCCAAAGCGACAATGCGAAGCCACCGGCGTCCACACGCTCTAACTAGGTGACGTCATCATAAGTAATGCTTTGCCTATCAAGGAATGCGGAACTCTTCGGTACTTGCGAGTGCGTGCAATCGGGACACCCATCAGCGTCTTTGCCAAACGCGATCGGCACTGCTTGAACTCTGACGTCATATTAAGCAGCGTTCTTGTGGAACGCGGATCGCGTATGGCAGACGCCGATGAGCGCCTCTTCCGCGCGCTCGATATGCCACATATAGTTCCGCGTTCCTCGATAGGCAAAGTGTCTATGCAGGTCTACTAGGGCTGATGATATAGTTAGTGCATGTGGCTGCCGTTTGTGTCGCATTGTCGTCGTAAAGCGACCGTTTCACGGCCCCTTTAATGTCCTAGAGATGCTTTTTAATAGTAATTGGCAATGAAAACAAAAATTTTTTATTTATTTAAAAATTACTACTCCCTCATCAAACATTTCACAATAAAAAAATATTGTATACGATTGTACATTTCATGTTTCAAACATCAAGAGGCTTTACCTTTTGTCGATTGAAAGCGTCCTTACACTTTTGCAAGGTCAATTGCCAAAGTGATACGCCATTATTATAGCATGTCATTCTTAATTCCGTAAGTTTACCTGCTAGTACTTTCTTCTTGCAGCCGTTGTTTCTCTACTTCGCGCAACAAGCGACTCATGGCGGTGTCGGACCAGAACCGATCGAAGCTCCCGCAGAGAACGTCGCCAAGTTTCCATACATCCACGAGGACGCAAGGAAAGTTTACGCAGGTAACTTTCCTGTTTATTCGGCAATTTACTATCTCATTACTTAACAGTGACAAACGAAGTGCATGAAATTTTCATGAAAACAGTCCGTTCAGGGCCAAGTGGGTGTTGTCTAACATCGATTTATGCTCGGGTTCCGGCGGCAGCTGAAATTTAAGCACGAAGACGTGTTCTGTTTTCCACTGCCCAGCTAGGCCCCTAGATCTCATGTGTGTAAAAACAAGATCAAAATCTTTGCACACTGGCGTTTTTACTCTTAGGCATGACTGACGCCTTGGACCAGTCCGTAGGTATCTTGGTGGAAGCACTGGACGAGGCTTCCATGCTTCGCGACACCATAATAGTTTTCAGCAGCGACAACGGTGGTGCTCCTTCGGGCCCCGTCTCCAACCGAGGCATCAATTGGCCTCTGCGTGGAGCCAAGGACAGCCTCTACGAAGGTGGAATCCGTTCGCCCGCGTTCCTCTGGACTCCCGACCTGCTACCCCGTCGACGAGTGTCACACCAGCTGATGCATGCCGCCGACTGGCTTCCGACGCTCTATTCGGCGGCTGGTACGTTTTCAAGCCGTTCTTTATTCGCACGCTGTAACATGTTCTAAAACTTATCATTGTGAATTAGTGAATGGTATAGGCTAGTATAAGTAAAAACAATAAGTACCCTCAAGGAAGTCAAGTGTAGAGCTAGTTTTAAGCATACCATGTGCCACCAGCACAGCGTTTGGATGCCGTAGAGTTGCACCATTAAAACAATCCCATGCAACTGAATTGGATGCGCAGCCGCAGCACTTCGCCAACTTGACCTGACTGCATATTATCATCCCCACTCCTACCCACTACTCTTTTCCCTGTCCTTTACCCTCCCCTGGTGTAGAGTTGCAGGCTCGAGCATACCATCGCTCAGGCCGACCTCTGTGTATTTCTTTGAATAAATCTCTCACCCTATTTATGGACTTCCTAAGGCCTTGTTGTTTTGACGTTTTACAACTGTACAAATTAGGACTGGCATACATCGTTTTATGTGCTTTTAGTTTCTAACATTTAGCTGCAATGGAAACGAACAAGGACACTCATTAGTCCATGACATTCCATGCTGCACTTTCTTTAAGTACTCTGCATGTGTTTCTTATCTAACACTCCGCCCTTTGGAAATTGCAGTGTTGTCTCCTAAGAAGGGGCACAGGTGCACTTCAGAGCACAGCCGTATCTTGGTAATAACAAAAAAAGAAGGCTAGGAGATTACTATTCACACTAACCCCCATAGGATTCCTCAGGTATCTGTTGGACTGTGAGGGGCATAAAAAGTATGAATCAAAACCGATTCGAGCTAAGCACTAAGTATGAATGGCTGTACGTCGAGTGGTGCAGTACATTCCAGAAAGACTCCTCGCTTCCGTGAAGCAGTGGATTCGCAAGTGGTAATATTATTACAATAACAACTAAATAGACAGTCTCGGCTCAATTTGGGTGTCACCGCCACCATCATTCCTGTGTAAGTATGTATATATACAGGGGCAAAGATACGCTAGCCTCCTCTTTCTGCGGAACGAACACCACTTTTCCAGCCTGGGTCGTCTGCGCGCGCACTTATAACCTGGGCGAACAAGAGAAAGAGGAAGGCACTTATGGTTGCCGTCATATTGCGGCAACGATCAGCACGCGCCTTGTGTCCCCCTTCCCAGCAGGCTTCTATAGGAGCTTCTACGGGCTGCGCTCTCAACTCGAAAAAACGGCGCCGAAAGTGTGCCTTGAGCGGTCGTGGTGGTAGGTAAAAAACATTTATTTCAGAAAAAGTCTACTAGAGAGTGCCGACGTGGCCCATCGGCGTGCTAGAGTGGCAAGACCCTATTCCGGGACGCCAGTGGAGCTAGAAGCTGCCCGTGCGCGCTCCACCAAGGAGCGTTGTGCAGCCAAGGTAGAGCAGCCGAGCAGGTGCTCCTCCCAAGCCTCTCTAGTTGGGATAGGAAAAGGGGATGAAAAAGGGACGGGATTAACTGGGCACGATGCTACGACGTGATATGTGTCGGCGAGGACATTACAGGTCGAGCAGGTGCCATTGATTTCCGGCAAAAAGTGCCTGGCGACCGCCGGACTGATAAAGGTGTTCGTCTGCAGGCGGCGTAGCAGTCGTTCGTCCGCTTTCTCCAAACCGCGTGCGGGGTGCGGGTAGAGGCGGCGCGAAGCCCGGTAATAAGCCAAAATTTCACGAAAGCGCGTCAGGTTGGTATTGCCAGATTTCGTCTCGGGACATGGAGGGGCAACGGCCCGGACAGGAGAAGCGCGGGCAGCGGCATTTGCCGCCTCGTTGCCGGGCAGGCCCGAGTGGCCTGGGGTCCAGACTATACGAATGGGATGAGGGTTAAAGCGCCAAAAGGCTGCCTGTAGTAGGCTAGCTGCCAGCGGGGCAATGGAACCCTGAAGGTACTGAGAACAGGCCGAGCGCGAGTCCGTCAGGATGGTGCGTGAGGCAGGGTGAGAGGCGGCCAAAGCTATGGTAACCTCTTCAGCGTGCGTTACTGTGTCTGCTCTAAAGGAGAGGCCATCTACGTGTTTGTCCTCTGTAATCACGGCAGCCGTGAAGTGACCCGAGGGGGAGGGACCCGAGACGTCCACGTAGAAAACACCAGGACGATCGGAGTGTCGCGTATGAAGGGCCGCGGCGCGTGCTAGTCTACGGCCAGGATGGAGGTCGGGGTTCATATTACGGGGTAGAGGTTCCACCCATAGCTTTTGACGCCAGAGCTCTGGTACCGGCTGCTGAGGGTCTTGGTCAGATATCGGGTTAAGGCCAAGTCTGTGTAGAAGACGGCGCCCTGAAGGCGTCTGCGACAGTCGATTGATTTGGTTAACGCGATGAGCTTCGCGCATCTCTGCAAAGGTGTTGTGTACCCCCAAAGCCGCGAATCGGCTGTTGCAAGTTGCAATAGGTAGGTCCAGAGCGTGTTTGTATACTGAACGAAGAAGGACGTCCAGCTGGTGCTCGTGTCGACGACGCAGGCGAAGGTAAGGCAAGGCGTAGAGGACGCGACTGGTCACAAACGCGTGGGCCAATTGGAGGGACTGAGACCCGCGGAGGCCGCCGCGTTTGGTAGAAACTCGCCATATCATGCGGCTCACCTGTTCGCTGGTGCGTCTGAGGCCTGCTATTGTGCCCTTTGGATCCAAGGACGATGTGAGGTGAAGGCCAAGAACCCGAATATTTTGCACTGACGGGACGGGCCCGGACGGAAGAAAAATTTGAGGCGGCGGTAGCGGAGAGACTGAAAGAAGAGCCGATTTAGCTGGAGAGCACTCCAGGCCGCATGAACTTGCGTAGGTGTCCACCAGAAGGGCAGCCTTTTGCAGGCGTTCTTCGATTTGCGCTAAGGAGCCGGTGTTGGTCCAGATTGTGATACCGTCTGCATATAGTGCGTGTTGTATTCCCTCGACCTCGCTTAGAACAGAGGGGAGGTTCATCATCGCCAGGTTAAAAAGCAGAGGAGACAGGACTGCCCCTTGAGGTGTACCCCGCGTGCCTAATAAGTACGGGCCGTGTTCGGTAGAATTAAGGCGAATGAAGGCGGTGCGATGTGATAGAAAGGCGCGAATGTAGTTGAAAGTCTTCTGCCCGCAGTTTGTGGTAGACAGGTTAGTGAGTATAGTGCTGTGTTTGACGTTGTCGAACGCCCCGCGGAGATCGAGAGCGAGCACGGCTTTATCGTTATGGCGCATAGTAGTCGGCTCTATGATATCGTGTTGAAGCTGGAGAAGGACGTCCTGCGCCGACAGATGCGGGCGAAGCCAAACATCGTGTCGGCAAAGGTCCTCCTGGCCTCCAAGTAGGCGGAAAGGCGTTCGCGAACCATGGTTTCCATGAGTTTGCCTGCGCAAGACGTAAGTGAGATGGGTCTCAGTGCCTCAATACTAACGGACTTTGCCGATTTGGGAATGAATGTCACGACCGATGTCGTCCATTCCGTTGGAAGCGGAGAGCCGTCCCATATCGAATTTATAAGGTGGAGTAGTGAGAGGTGTGCTTGGTCGGGAAGATTTGCCAGGAGCGATACTGTGATTCCGTTGCGTCCAGAAACCGTGCCCCGTCGCATTTTCGTGAGTGCAAATCGTAAATCAGAAAGCGTGTATGGGGCGTCGAGGTCGGTGTTAGGGGCGCCGGAATACGTATATGCTGGGCCTGCGGGATCAATTGTGCGGCAGATGTAGCGGTCACAAAGTTCTCGCGCTAGTTCATCCGTAGTGCCCTGAAAGGCATGGAGAACACGGTGGAGCTGGCGTTGCGTTTCTCCAGTGGTGGTGGAGGGATCGAGAAGGCTTCTAAAGAGTCGCCACGCACTCTTGGAGCTCATCTGGTTTGCAGCCTTCGAACAGGTGTCTGCCCAGTTAGCATCGGAAAGTTGTGCGGAGTATGCGGCCGCCTCTGCAGTGAGCGCCTCAATGCGAGCGCGACGTTTCCGATTAAGTTTGTTGCGTTTCCAGCGCCTTATGAGCCCGCGGTGAGCGTGCCAAAGATGTAGGAGGTGTGGATCGATTGCAGGAGTCAAATTAGAGGTTGCAAGGGTGCGAGTGTTCGCTTGTTTCATATGGAGAGCGTATGATGCCCACGCTGCATATTCGGTCAAAGAGGCCGGCGGGGAATGGTTGCATTCTGAACTGAGTCCAATCGGTGAGACGGGCTTGGCCCCAGTGTTGGCGCATTTTCTGCCGCGGTGTGAACGAAATTCGGAGTAAAAAGTGATCGCTGCCTAGGGTTTCGCCTAAATTTTCCCATGTAGCATCGCGGATGTGACGAGTGAGGGAGAGGTCGGGGCATGTGTCTCGCGTGACCGAGTTACCGGAACGTGTGGGTTGTGCCGGATCGGTAAGAAGCGTCAGGCTCAGCGATGAAATGAGCTCCTTGAGCTCTCTGCCCCGGGCCTTCTCGTAGTGGTAACCCCAGTGAGGGCTGGGGGCATTAAACTCCCCGACAATCACCAGTGGTTGTCGGGCCGCTATACCCAGCGCCCGATGGAAGAGATGCGCAAACGAAGCTCTCGCAAGGCGAGGGGGACAGTACACGTTTAAGATATGTATTGATGGTTGGCCCCTCCGCTGAGACAGCACTGATATTATGCAGTAGTCATAAGGAAGATCCAGATCGAGGTCAACCTGTATCGCCGTGTAAGCTTTGTGCACGAGGAGGCATGTGGTGGTGCCGCCTACATAGGAGCAGTATCCAGAAAGGGATAGAGCAGGGCCAGATTCTTGGAGCGCCAAGACGGCCAGCTGAGAGCCAAGTGAGCTGAGGAAAAGAGAAAGATGTGAACGCTTTCGCCTGTTCCCGAAGCCTCCAGGGTTCCACTGTATGATCTCGAATTTAGACGCAATGTTTGAACGGGACGTACGATTGGTAGCCATCGTGACTGTCTTAGGTTTTATATTTGGTCCTCCATGTCCCGCTCAGAATCCTCAGAGGCAGGGAGGGGCACGGAGGCCGGATTGTCCGACGGCGGGGTGGTGGTAGCCATCTTACGACGACGCCGTGGAGCTGTACCCTCACTGCTCACCGAGCAGGAGCGGGA